TTGATTCCATCAATGGTATCCAAGACACTACACAGCACAGAACGGAAAGGAGAAACATACTGCGAACCGCATGTGATTTATAATGGCGCAACATGATGATGATGATGAAAGAAAAGTGATGTCATTTTCACCCTGAGGATTCAGGACTACCTGTCTAATGTAATCGCCACGAAGTGCGCAGGTTGGACATTTTTTTAGCCTCTGGAAAAAAAAAAAATCCTTCGCCTATTCGTGAATTCTGTGGTCTCTCAAAAAAGGGCCCCGGATTCTAAATACTCGACTAGACATCGTACAAAAGAGAAAAACCTCGCCGAATGAGGGACAGGAGAGACATCTAATATGTCTACCCGGAGACAGTTGAGACACATCGTTGCTTAATACCAATTCCCTGAACGCGTCGTGCGTTGAGTGCATGGAATGGAAAACGGATTACTGCATGCGGGGCCCGTCTGCTGTGCCATGTTAGTGAGTTTTTTTTAGCCGCCTGTATTATATATTTTCAAGGACAGCTGCAGCCTAATCGGCCCACATTTGGTTGAGTTTGTCCTAACTGGCAGACACAGCGGACGATGCCGCCATCTCCCTCAACATGTGTCCTATCCAACCCCACTGTCTTTTCTCCATCTCTTGGTCCATCGAAACGTGTTTGGTTCTCTAGAACATTACTCGTTATGAAAATTCCAGCGATTAACGTAATGATCATATACTTTATATCATTCTGTCGTTCAAAATTAAAATATTGCAACTTTCGTTTTCACATATTGTTTAAATATCACAATGTAGTTAACTGGGAGCATTAGACAGCTGGTGTCTGTGTGGTTTTAAGTTTCGTTGTCATTCTGCTGAAGAAGGCTAATCACCGCAACGTTCTAAGTTCATTCTATGAGCTGCCACTTTTGTTTAAACTAAAGGTTTGAAGGTTTGAACACTGGATTAACATCATAGCACACGGGTAGTAACCCATAAGTGCTCCGTTCTTCTCGTAACTCAAGTCTGGGTCAGAAGAAGCTCAACGCAGTGCACAGGCTCTGTAGCACCGGCGAGGATCCTGAAACACTTTGGGTAGATTTTTAACTCCAAATCTTTGCCCCGGCAGCGCCTTTAGGCTACTTTTCGATTTCCAGCTGCCAAGGAATTTTTTTTACGTGCGCAACAATGCACACGGGCGACCGATCTCACTACCCAGAGACCAGGGGAGAATTACTAGAAATCCAAGTTCACGTGAAAAAATCCCAGCCCTTACCAGGGACTGAACCCGGAACCTCAAGCACTCGAGGCGAACACCATACGTCGAGACCACGCAGCCCCTATTCTACATTTATCTTCTTTATGCCTCTTCTGTGAGCAACCGTGGTGTAGCGGCTAGATTTCCGCCTCAGGATCCAGAGGTCGTGGGTTCAGATTCTGATTCTGCCAAACTTTTCTTAATGACCTTGGCTCCCACTTCGAACCAGCCCTTAGTACATACCTGGCAGAGTCCAGGGAGGTAAAGGCGGCCGGCGTGATGTTGACCCCATCAAGTGCGGATTGGTCTGGCCCTATACGCCTGAGCTTCATTCATTTACTTTTTTTTTCTTTAAATTATTCTACATTCAACGTCTTGATTTCATCATCATCATCTTCGTCCACTGGGTGTAAGCTGTAGTGTAGATTCCTGACTCTTTGTTCATTTGGATTATGGCTGTGTGCCAGGGTCTGAGTTTTGCGTGTACATCCGTTTTACTGGCTTACTTGTGCGTAGTTGGCTGTTCCTTGCTGTTCGGGCAGAGGCACTCCGACTTCGAAGGAAGCTACAAATTTCTCGACTCTTACAACACGAAATGCAGTAGGTGCACCGAAATCAGTAGAGAAAGAAGATTATTATGGCCTGGAGAGAATGAGGCATCTGGGTGTAACCAGAGGGTCTGGCCGGCTCACTACACTCAGAGGAAAGGCAAGACGGACATAAAACCAGATTGTGACCGGTACCATCAGTATTAGAACTCAGCGTTGCTGCTGAAGATCAGGACTGAGCGTGCATCGGAATGCCCCGAGTGCTGTGATGTCAATTCTTGAATCAACTCAACAGGCAGTGGGTCTATTCTTGCCCCCCTCCTCCCCCAATCCCCCTAACATGGGCCCCGGAGTCTGCGACGCCCCATACCGTGATAAAAATCCACGCAGCCAGCAGTGGGTTTCGATCGCGGTACGTTAGATTACGAGTCGGACTCGCATGACCTAAGCCACGGACGCCGCTTGCTAATCTATACACTTGGTTATAATTGCGTGTAAGTGTAAATATAAAAATGTAAACCTGGGTATGCCAGCGTAAAAGGTAACGAACGAGATGACCAGCTGGCAAGCAGTGCATCAACAAATGTGGGAAGAAGCATGGACAGAACCGATATCATCAACACTGTAGGGACTGGACTGAGCTAGTGGACACTAAACAATCTCTGACACTAACTCGATTACGTGTCATGAAAGTAAAGCATGGCCAACTACTCATGGGAATAATCAGTAGAGGTAACTTGGGGTGGCTGCTGCAATGGAGGACCGAGCAGGCATGGGAATACACTAAGTACAGTGACGTCGAATGTGATAACCTAACATAAAATAACCTTGCCAACTGCCTTCCCCTGGTGTCTTTTCATAGCCAAAGTATCATCAACATCCTGTGCCGATCTTCGCGCTAGTGGGCTCCTGCTTTGTCTTCCAGACAACCTGCTTTCCCTTACTGCTCATTTCGAAGTCACTGCGATATTTAAAACGGTAAATGTATATCAGTTTCCGAGACAGGGTCCTGTTTGACAGTCAGCTGTCTTTGATGAAGAGGAGTAGGAATAGTAGTAGTAGAAGTAGCAGCCGCAGTAGTAGTAGTGTTGGTGGTTGTGGTGGTAGTAGCAGTGATAGTAGTACTTGTGGTAACAGTAAGTAACATTAATAGTGTGGTGGTGGTGGTAGCAGTAGTAGAAAAATCAGTAGTAGCTGAAGTAGCAACAGCAGTAATCGGAGAATTAGTGTGGTTGTGGTGATGGTGTTGTTAGTAGTAGTAGTAATAGTAGTAGTAGTTGTACTAGCGCTTGCGGTTACTGTAAGCAACATTAGAAGATGTTGTACTGATTGTGTTGGTGGTGGGGTTGGTGGTGATAGTAGCAGTATTAGTAGTAGTGGTGGTGGTAGTGGTCAGTAATGGTAGAGTAGTAGTGGATACACTGCAGCAAAAGACGAAAAAGAAGACGAAGAGGGTGTTGGGGGTGCAGAGGAAGAAAGGGATATTTTAAAAAAAATAATAATAACAATTTAACAGTAATCGCCCAAACTGGGACACAATACACAACCAACGCTAGTGAAAAATCTCCTATACAACCTCAACAAATCACAGTTATACGAAAATGATCTTGCGTTGGTTTAGACAGTGGTACCGAGAGCTGACTGTGCGCAAACTACTCAATGCAACATTTACCTAGAAAAACCACAACAGCTAAACAAAACAACAACAACAACAACAAAACACACACACAAAAAAAACTTAGTTGGGTTCTGCCGTGTCCTTCAAAGGATGCGCAACTAACTATGTAGGCGTGTTTGGGAATAGGAAGTCAGGGTTAAGTTGACGGTAATCTCCCCAAATAGAGTAGGTCCCTTTTTATTTACAAGTTTGTTGGGCTGGTCGACTTTCCTGAAGGTTACTGGTGTACCTGCTCTGGTGTTTGCTTTCTGTGATGTCTTGCATTCACGTTTTCCTTTAGAGAAAGAGAATGCCTGTGACAAAGGTTGCAGCACTCTCTAGAGGGGGGTTGTGTTAGGACCAGTTATGTCTTTAGAGTGTTAAAAGCGCTGGCGTGCTGAAATACACAACACGCGACATCAACGGTAATGCGGAACACCCCTATAATCTTGTACCAAGGTGACACGTTCAGGAACAACAAATCAGAGGTGAGCTAGTGTGTAAATGGGCGGGGTGTGGGGAGACCAACGTTTCTTTTACCAGAAGTCAGACAGGTTGGTTTTACTGCCCTATTCCACGGCCTTTTTAGGGGTGTGGTACAACTGCAGACGGCACATTTGATTTCTTGCATGTGGGACGAGGTAACGGGGCGTGTCTACAGGCTTGAAAATTGGGTGAAAGACAAGACGAGAAGTTAACCAGATGACAACAGGCACCATCAGTATAGGGACTCTTCACGTGGACTTAGACTTCTAGTTATTACCCTTGGTCTCTGGGTAGTGGGATCAGACGCCCGTGTGCATTGTTGAGCACGTAAAAAAAAATCCCTTGGCAGTTGGAAATCAAAAAGAGTAGCCTTACGGCGCTGTGCAGGAAAAATTTGGAGTTAAAAATCCACCCAAAGTATTCCAAGATCATAGCCGGTGCTACAGAGCCTGTGCACTGTGCTGAGCTTCTTCGGACCCAGACTTAAGTTAGACGAAGAACGGAGCACTTATATGCTTACTACCCGTGTGCCATGATGTTGATCAAAACCTCGAACCTCAAACCTTTATTTAATGAGTTCCCCGTATCTCATAAAGTTATTTATAGGAATGACGTATACACACTGGAACCTACTCATCAAATATCTTTCGTAAATGTTTGTGTATTCTAGACAAAGCATTGAGGTCTACTGTGTTTGTAAATTGTTGCTGTGCTTGTTATTCGACATATGCTTCGTTAATATACATTTCTGTAAACTATGGTGCCATTTCAATGGTTTGAAATGTATTATGTCCGTATTCCAAAGTTTTCAAGCTGTACGATAGACGTGGCCAATAAGACACCGTTGAGGAGGGGAGGGGGGTGCCTAGTTGACCATGTTCTTAGTGCGACTGTTTCCATAGCGAGGCGCACACGCCGTCTAGAGGTCACAGGTTCAATTTCCGGCACGGTAGCTATAGCTTTCGTCTTTTATGTTGTCTAGTGTGTTCTTCTATCTTTCAACTTCTTTCTATGAGTGCCAATCAATACATTTTCTGTTAATTAATATATCATATATCACACGTATTAAACACAGCAACCTTACCTGTCCGTTACCGAACCGTCCTTGAGTTTCAACCTTTGTGATCACCATCAGTTTACCCAAGTCTATCTGCAAGTACTCGTACACGTTCTCCTCAATTTGTCTCCGTGGACACCAGGCTCCGCCCTTCTTCTCATGTCGAATTCTGCAACAATACAATTATTTATAGTTTATCTTGACACCGCAATGCAAATGAGAAGACAGATGAGCTGACACGACTTCTATGTGTGAGCATATTTATTTGACCCCCTCCCGCGCCTTTTTTGTTTTTATTGTCTTTAAGAATATTTGCTACTGAAAGAAGAAAACTATAATTTCAACACAGGTTCCAGTCCCCTAATGAGAGCCTGGAGTTATGATCACTCAGCCAGCAAGCCTCGTTGTCTTTCTGATTCGGATTACTCCACTTTATGGTTCTATCCTAATATCTCCCCCTCCCCCTCCCCACCCAACAGACATTGGTTGCATGCAGTCGTGGGACCTAGGCTGTATGCTGTCGTGGGACCTAGGCTGGACACTCTGGTGAGACGTAGGTGGGTTGGGGTTAGGCCCAGTTCTACATGTTCTAGGGTAGTTAAAACCATCAAAAAGCCGTGAAACCCACTCTTACACCCTCGAAAATACTGGACTGTTCTGTGACGTCATCCTGTGGGGGGGGGGGGGGGGGAATTGGAAAAGCACCCACTTTATTTCAAATGGAAAGTGTACACAACTTCCCTAATCAGGTTGCGGTTGTATCTTAGAACATCAAAATAGCTATGTGTCGGAGTCTGTGGCTTAGGCGTTGCAAACGCGCTTCGTAATGCCGGGGTGCCGGGTTCGATCCCAGCTGCGGGCCTTGCGCCTTGCTTTGGTTTCGACAGTGGTATCGAGAAGCCTACCGTCCAGACAGCAATGACAAACTCACCATTATCATGTAGCAGGTCCTTTCCAGAACGTCGATCTCATCACATTGTACCTGAAAGAAACTCGGTCTCTCGCCAGTTCCCCCGCCTCAAGTACTTTTATACTCATGGAGTCACTTATATCCTGTGCCAATCTTTGTGTTGGTCGGCTCCTGTCCCTCCTTCCTGGTACCATGCCTTCTGCTACTATTTTTTTAAATCTCTCGTAGCGCTTGATATAATCAAAATTTTTCAGATCAATGGCAAACTACTGGACGTAAACTTGCCTAGAAAAACCACAACAGCCAAAAACATGCTGGGATTGGTTCTGCAACTTCCTGTCAAGGATACGCAACTAACTATACCTATTTATTTAACAATACGTTATTCTTTTTTTTTCCAAATAGGAATTAACTGTGCAATATTATTTACGCAACATGTTCCTTATTATCGCCAGCATTTTTATGGACGACAAATCCAGATTGAGCATAAAATTTCACATCTATCTGTTATTTTGTTTACACCCTGGTTTGTTTTTTCTTTGCACTGAATTTAAAAGAATTTTTGTTTTTAAAATGTATGTGTGATTAGCGTATTTCTTGCTCCATAGCTGTCTGTCAGCAGCGCCCCTTCATCCACCCCCCCCCCCCCCCAACAAAAAATACTGAATTTTATGTGGATGAGATTGCCCGGTCGCATAGAAACTGTGCACAAGAACTAAGCGCCACCCCTAAACATCTATAGTCGCCATCCCTAAACATCTATAGTCGCTCCCCCTTTCCCTAAACATCTATAGTCTCCACCCCTAAACATCTATAGTCGCCACCCCTAAACATCTATAGTCGCCACTCCTAAACATATATAGTCGCCACCCCAAAACATCTATAGTCGCCACTATTAAACATCTATAGTCGCCACCCCTAAACACCTATAGTCGCCACCCCTAAACATCAATAGTCGCCACCCCTAAACATCAATAGTCTCCACCCCTAAACATCAATAGTCTCCACCCCTAAACATCAATAGTCTCCACCCCTAAACATCAATAGTCGCCACCCCTAAACATCAATAGTCTCCACCCCTAAACATCTATAGTCGCCATCCCTAAACATCTATAGTCGCCACCCCTAAACATCTATAGTCGCCACCCCTACACATCTATAGTCGCCACCCCCTAAACATCAATAGTCGCCACCCCTAAACATCTATAGTCGCCACCCCTAAACATCTATAGTCGCCACCCCTAAACATCTATAGTCGCCATCGCCAAACATCAATAGTCTCCACCCCTAAACATCAATAGTCTCCACCCCTAAACATCTATAGTCGCCACCCCTAAACATCTATAGTCGCTACCCCTAAACATCTATAGTCGCCATCCCTAAACATCAATAGTCGCCACCTCCAAACATTTATAGTCGCCATCCCTAAACATCTATAGTCGCCACCCCTAAACATCAATAGTCTCCACCCCTAAACATCTATAGTCGCCATCCCTAAACATCAATAGTCGCCACCCCTAAACATCTATAGTCGCCACCCCTAAACATCTATAGTCTCCACAGCTAAACATCTATAGTCGCCACCCCTAAACATCTATAGTCGCCACCCCTAAAGATCTATAGTCGCCACCCCTAAACATCTATAGTCGCCACCCCTAAACATCAATAGTCTCCACCCCTAAACATCTATAGTCGCCACCCCTAAACATCTATAGTCGCCACCCCTAAACATCTATAGTCGCCACCCCTAAACATCTATAGTCGCCACCCCTAAACATCTATAGTCTCCACCCCTAAACATCTATAGTCTCCACCCCTAAACATCTATAGTCGCCACCCCTAAACATCTATAGTCGCCACCCCTAAACATCTATAGTCTCCACCCCTAAACATCTATAGTCGCCACCCCTAAATATCTATAGTCGCCACCCCTAAATATCTATAGTCGCCACCTCCAAACATCTATAGTCGCCACTCCTAAATATCTATAGTCGCCACCCCTAAATATCTATAGTCGCCACTCCTAAACATCAATAGTCTCCACCCCTAAACATCAATAGTCTCCACCCCTAAACATCTATAGTCGCCACCTCCAAACATCTATAGTCGCCACCCCTAAACATCTATAGTCGCCACCCCTAAACATCTATAGTCGCCACCCCTAAACATCAATAGTCGCCACCCCTAAACATCTATAGTCGCCACCCCTAAACATCTATAGTCGCCACCCCTAAACATCAATAGTCGCCACCCCTAAACATCTATAGTCGCCACCCCTAAACATCAATAGTCGCCACTCCTAAACATCTATAGTCGCCACCCCTAAACATCAATAGTCGCCACCCCTAAACATCTATAGTCGCCACCCCTAAACATCAATAGTCGCCACTCCTAAACATCTATAGTCGCCACCCCTATAGTGTACAGATGTTGCTCTTTAAGTATGTTTCAAGAAATGATATGTAACACCACGCAGCTTTATGTGAATTGCGAGGGGTTACTAAGGAATCTGGCTATCCTCCGAAAAACGGTCACAAATTATCGAGGCCGAAAAATATACCCTAACAGGGCCTCAGTCACATGTAAATTGCGGACCTCTTCCGGCGACTACACAGATTACCGCCTATAGCTGCGCGGAGCAGGGCTAAACTAGATGGCTGGGACTTAAACGCAAATAAAATAGAGAAAGCTGCATAAGATACGGTAGCTGCTGCTCTTGAGTCCAAGCCATCTAGTCAGTAATTTAATCTCGGCGGAGGCTTTTTCGCGGTATGCTGTATAGTCGCCGGAATAGGTCCTGTTATGGTGTATTTTCGGCCTACATAATTTTGGACCGTTATTCGGAGGATAGCCGGAAATCTGACCGACACCCAACACTCAATGGAAAGGCAAGACGGATATACAAACAGACAGTTGGAACTCTTCGCTTGCTGCTGAAGATGGGGTTGGAGCGCTTATGGGAGTGTCCAGAGTGAGGTTATATCGATTCTTAATTTGAAAAACTGTTAGGTATGTGTTTACATATTTCTTGTATTATTGTTAGTATAATCAAAAATAATTACTACTACGCCACCACTACTACTACCACCAAAACCACCACTACTACCACCATAACCACCACTATTACTACCACTACTAATATTACTCTATCACCACCACCACTACTACTGCCATTACTACTACTACTATAATTACTTCTACCACCATCACCACCACCACCACCACCACCACCACCACCACTACTACTACTACTACTACTACTACTACTACTACTACTGTAACTTTTTCTTCTTCCTCAGCATTCCGAGCCTTTGAGTCTGCGGCTCCTAGCAAACCTGCGACGCCCCTGCGAGGTGTATGCCTGTATGGTCTTGAGTTTGTTTTTGTGTGTTGTTGCTTGTTTATATACATACCTGGCTATAGACAGACACACGGGTAGACACACAGAGGCTGACATATAACTAGACAGCCAGAGAGAGACAGGCGGACGGACGGCCAGACAGACAGAACAATTTTTTTTCCCAGTATCCAGAAACCATAAGTTGTTTTAACCCTTAGGCTCGGTACTATAGATATCGCAACCCTTCGGCCTTATTATATGATAGATACCGTATATCTGGAAGAAATGTGGCCGCGCAGTCCGGTTTAGCCAACTGCTCTAACAGGCAGGCAGGCGGGGAGACGGACGGACGGACAGACAGAATTAAACATATGAATTAATCAAGTAACAGAAAGTATTGTGAACGGCACTCATAGAAAGAAGTAGAAAGATAGAAGAACACACTAGACAACATAAAAATCGAAAGCTATAGTTACCGTGCCGGGAATTGAACCTATCACCTCCAGACGGCGTCTGCGCCTCGCCATGAATACAAGTGCACTAAGATACATGGTCAACTCGGCACCCCCGAAAAAAGGTGTCTCATTGGCCATGTCTATCGTACAGCTTGAAATCCACGACTATGGAATACGGACAGAATTCAATTCAACCCATTGAAATGGCACCATAGGTTACAGAAATTTATATTAACGAGGCAAATGTCAAATAACAATCACAGCAACAATTTACGTACACAGTAGACCTTATTGCCTTGTCTAGAATACACAAACATTTAAGAAAGGTATTTGATTGGTAGGTTCCGGTGTGTATACGTCATTCCTATAAATAAACAGAGAGGGGAACCATTTGAGGCCGTTAAATATTATGAATTAATCAAGTAACAGAAAGTATTGTGAACGGCACTCATAGAAAGAAGTAG